AGTCAAACTCTCTTTACTTTTTGAGTGCAAAGTAAAGTCAAACGAATTTACTGTTGGGATCAGTAAATAGCAAAGAGAGAGAGAGAGAGAGAGAGAGAGAGAGAGAATAAGAAATAATAAAAGTATTGTAACTCTAAAAACGAAAATAATTGGATGAAAAACTCGTTGTCTCTGTAATGGTGTTTATATTCTGGCGAAGAAGAAGTGGTGGCAATCATATGACAGCGAAAGCGAGTGATAGAAAGCAAGAAAGAGTAGTGAAGGGGTGTATGTCATAGCACTGGGAGCCCAGCCATCGATCTTAACCCTAACATACAGAGCAAACTCTATGCGATTACATAAACTGGCAGTTGTTGTGCAACTCGTATACACTAAACAACTCGTGTTGTGTTGCGTATAAGTTATATATGAAAGTTGTATTATTTCACTATTGCTCTGTACACAAGCGCAGTCAAACTTACCAGCGCTAGTATATTATCTAACAGTGCTCTGACACAGAGATATAGTGTATTTCTACTGAATGTTTATGTGAGCAGCTGTACGTCCAAAACAAAACAATATTTAACCATCATACATACAACTGCGAAAAGCCATCGCTAACCATAGACTATATCCTTTGCAACTCTCGTGTGTTTTGGTTTTTCGCCAGTAATTAAACTTTTTTCAACGTTAAACCCATTCAACCCGTCGGCCGACACTTCTGTCCGACAGTCCTCGGTCTCTCGGTATCACTTAATTGGTCTCCAGAAGTGATCCGAAGAATAGTCGCCAAATACATCTATACGCGTATACTTTGTATCGCCAGAGATAATGCCATTCATTGGTAGGGATTGGCGATCGCCCGGAGAGGTATGGGTGAAGACCGACGAGGGATGGGAACGGATGAAACTGTTGCAGAACTCATCCATCATTCGTAACCAAATCCACGAACAGTAAGTGATTATCAATGATAACAATATTTTCATTTCCCCATCACTTGTATGCATACATATGTTGTGTTTTGAATATCCCTTTAAAATATTTCACATCATATATTATACACTATCCTATGGTTGCAAACGATACGCGATATTCATTGACTAATCGCTCGGTTTTAGTATTAAATAAATTTGTCTTAAATTAATGTGTTTTAACAGTAAAATCATATGACTTTCGCGATTTTTAAACCTCAAAGTCTTATTAATTATGTGTGTTTTAAACGCTGAGTTTAACATGTATTTCCCTTACGGCCCCATAATATACAGTAGAGTACAGTACATGTGAACCGGAATATTGTGAGGCTTTTTCACTGATCAGATATCAGGTATCAGTTTGTTTGGCTGCGATAGCGATCTCTAGCACTAAACTCTCGTTTTTGGACTCATTATTAAAATTAAATGTTTTTTGTTGGAAATTATTTTTTCATATTTTATATTTAATAATTTTTCCGTTAATAATGCGATTCAATTGTATTCATAATCAGTTTGATAGGAGAGAGAGAGAGAGAGAGAGAGAGAGAGA